AAAGAGAAGCTACCCACTGCGGGTCTCCCCTTAGCTGTTCTAACACTTAATAAAGCTCCTCTTCATCTTGCTCGCCCTCCACATGTCTGCATCCCTCATTCTTCCTGGATGCAGGACAAGAACTCAGGCAAAGGTGCCACTGGCCACATAGGTTTCTGGCCAGAAAAAGCAACACCCCAAACATCCCACATCACAAGTATATTTTGCTTGTAATTAATGTGAAAATGATTTAGTTGCATTAATCATCCATCATATCATAAACATGTTCTACATTGCCCTTTTCCTTAAAGTATCAGACCTAGTGACCATGGAGCATCCTCTCAATGGATCACCCATAATTGACTCTCCCTCTGTAACAACTGGATGCTCAGATTGTCTCCACTGCTATCGTGGGCAATGCTGAGGGGAAGGAGCCCTGCTGCAATGATTTTGTTTCCTATGAATTCTCAAAAGAAGAATTAATCATTCAGCCAAAAGGGAGGAACCACTGTCATACTCCTGCCAAATATTCACTATTCCTCTCTAGAAGTGTAGCTTCTTCAGCCCTTTAGTGGTAGTCTGGTCTAATGCAAGTGCACAGGCTTTAAAATCAGGTGGAACTAGGGTCAAATCCCAACTCAGCCACTCACTATTCGAGGGCAAAGAACCTTACGTCTCTGAGCCTCCATTTTCTCATCTGTAAAATGGGAATAATGAAACTTATCTCATCTTGAGGATTGAGTTTAAAGTACAAGTGCCTGGTTTATTTAGGTACTAAATCCATTATTCTTAGCTTGTATATTTTCTTTCTTCTTGGAATTATTTGGTTCAAGTGGCTTTTCACTTCTCCTACTTCTCATCCATCTTGAACTGTGTTCCCGTGAAAGCCTCTGGCCAAAGAACAAGAAGTATCATTCCTCTAAAGCCTACTGTCCAACAGAAGTATTAGAAATAGAAAGCCAGGCACAAATTCCAGCCACATGTGTAATTTCAAATTTTCTGGTAGACACATTTTTAAAATAAAAATAAATAGATTAAATTAATGTTTAAAGTATATTTCATTTAACCCAATATATCCAAAATATTTTCACTATGTAATCAATATTTTTAGGTACTGAGGCATTTTATAAATTTTGTTGGTAGTTTGTAATATCTTTGAAATCTAGTGTGTATTTCATACTTACAGTGCATCTCAATTCACATCAGCTACATTTCAAGTATGGCTAGTGGCTTCTGTATTGGATAACAAAGGTCTAGACTTTGATATTTAAGCCTTTAAGGAGTGCAGATACCTCAAAGGGGATTGACAGCCAAGGGTTTAGGAGATATCATCTATCTGCATTTTGATGGTTTATAGCACTTGGAGGGAGATTACAAATGTAAGCCCCTAATTGTAAATAAAATGGGTAGCAACTCTAAGGTATAGCTCTAGGAACTCTGAGAATTTCATTTTCCTTACCCTCCTACACAAGCTATCTTCCTTCTTTCTCCCAGTTGGTCAAGTTGCCTTGCTTGTCTACCATGAAGGTCACTGGGGTGGGGGTGGAGAGTGCAAAGACTTCCTTTCTTCACATATTGTCTAACAGGCAATTCTACCTTTATATGACCAAACTCATATTTCTGATCACCATCACCTTCCAAATCTGCTTCTACTGCCCTCAAGCCAGCTCAGTAGGCAACAATCTCATTCGTCCTGCTGCTCTCGAGTCATCTTTAGCTTCTCTCTTTCTTCCATCCTCTATACCCTAAATGTCATCAAATCCTACCCTCAAAAAATTATCTAGAATCTAACCACTCTGACCACCTCTCATTATCTCAACTATTATCACTCTGGGCCAAGCCACCACCACCTCTAGCCTGGGTTATTGCAAAAGCCTCTGATCTGGTAGTCTTGCTTCTTCCTTTGGTCTCCTACAATCTTCACACAACACCCAAAAAGATTCTTGTTTAAAATGCAAGCATTTTTAACAAGAATCAGTCCAAACAGCAACAGTCCAAAAATGTATTTTAATGACAATTGACACAACATAAAAATATAAACCACTTAGGGATATATCTAGTCGAAATATGCACTACTGCTATAAAGAAAATAATAACATTGTATTTAAATACTTTAGAGAAGATCTAAATAAATGGAGAGACAGACCACATTCATGAATTGGGAAAGTCATTTTCATAAAGATATCACTTCTTTCCAAATTATATTACCAGTCAAATCTGAATATAGTTTTTTTTTTTTCTGTTGAAAGCCAATTCTGAAATTTATTTGAAGGAGTAAAATACCAAGATTTTCAAGACAGAAAGGAAGAAGAAAAGAATGGGGAGGCTCTTTCTAGATATCGAAATTTATTATAAACCTGTGGTTAACAATATTGTCTCGTATTGGCAAAGGGTTAAACAAATTGGCAGAATAGAGAACCAGGAAAGACCCCCATGCACATGACGACTCAACTCACAACAGAGCTACCATGGATCAGTGAATAAAGAATGGCCTATTAGGCCGGGTGTGGTGGCTCACGCCTGTAATCCCAGCACTTCCGGAGGCCAAGGTGGGTGGATCACCCAAGGTCAGGAATTCAAGACCAGCCTGACTAACACAGAGAAACCCCACCTCTACTTAAAAATCCAAAAATTAGCCAGGTACGGTGGTGCACACCAGTAGTCCCAGCTACTGGGGAGGCTGAGGCAGAAGAATCGCTTGAACCCAGGAGGTGGAGGCTGCAGTGAGCCAAGATCATACCACTGCACTCCAGCCTGGGTGACAGAGCAAGGGTGGCGGGTATTGGTAATCTCAGCTACTAGGGAGGCTGAGGCAGGAGAATTGCTTGAACCTGGGAGGTAAAGGTTGCAGTGAGCTGAGATCATGCCATTGTACTCCAGCCTCGGTGACAGAGCAAGACTCTATCTCAAAAAAAAAAAAAAAAGGAAAGAAAAAAAAATGGCCTGTTAAATAAATGGTGCCAAGACTCTTGGTTATCCATATGGGAAAAGCAAAATAAAATGAGGTTTCTTCCCACCTCATGCCATACAGAAAAGCCATTTCCAGGCAGACTAGAGACTTAAGTGTAAAAAGTAATATTATAAAATTATTTGAAAAAATATGAGAATAATTTTACAACCTTACAGTGGAGAATTTCTTAGATAACACAGAACAAGTATAAATCATAAAGCGACAGATGGATAAACTTGTTTGAAACTAAGAAATTCAGTCATTAATAAAAACCACAGGAATATAAGGAGACAAGGCACCAACCAATGGAAAATATTTGTTATATATATAAATGATAAAAAGTAGTATCCAGAACATGTATTGAATTATGGCAAATCAATAGGATAAAAGACAGGTAACCCCATGAGAAATGGACAAAAAATGTGAACAGGAAAAGGGACCCCAAATGGCCACTAAACATATGAAAAAGACGCCCAACCTTAGTAATTTGGGCAATGCAAATTAAAAACATGCTAAGATAGCTTTTCATTTCTACCAGATTGGCAGAAATACAGTACCTGACAATACCAAATGTTGGTGAAGATGTGGAGCAACAGAAACTTTGGTGCATTGCCGAGGGTTGGGTAAAATGAGCAAAAACTTTGGAAAACAATGTGGTGACAGCCAGTAAGGCTGAAAATATGTATAACCTATGACCCACCAATTCTATTTCTAGAGTATATACCCTAGAGAAATTCTTGCACACACGCCCAAAGATGCATGTACAAAAATAGTTCTAGCAGCACTGCTTATAATAGAAAAAAAAATAAACTCTTGAAATATCTCAAGTGCCCATCAGTAGCATCTCAGATAAATATATTGAGGTATATTCATCTAATAGAATACTATACTGCAGAAAACATGAATTATTTACAGGTACATGCAACAATATTAAGGAATTTCAGAAACATACTTTTGAACCAATTAGGCAAATTTTAAAAGAATATTTAATTCCATGTTTATGGAGTTCAACAGCTTGCAATCATACATATATAGCAATTTAAATAGGGGATGTAAAACTAGAAAAAAAAAGCAAGGGAACGATAAACCCAAAATTCTGGACAGTTGCTGCTTCTGAAAAGGGAGGGAGAAGGATGGGTATGAAGAGGACTTCGAAGATGATGCTCAGCTTTAAAAAATCTAAGGTATCAGCACACAGGGTTTATGCTACTTTTATTACTTTTATCTTATTATGATCTTTCTAAATTTTCTTTTCTTTTCTTTCTTTCTTTCTTTTTTTTTTTTAGAGATGGAGTTTCATCATGTTGTCCAGACTGGTCTCAAACTCCTGACCTCAGGTGATCTGCCCCTGTTAACCTCCCAAAGTGCTGGGATTACAGGCGTGAGCCACTGTGCCTGGCTGAACTTTTCTTTTCTTTCAACACTGAAAATCTTCCCAAGTTCATGGAAGAATAGCCCAGGTGCTCAGGATGGAGAGACAGGAAGGGCCTCCCTGACCTGACCCTGTTCCCTACCTCGCTGGCCAGAGCCCCAGACATGCCCCTTACCCCACTCTACCACACCAACCTCCACCAGGTCTCCGCCTTCAGACCCTTGTCAAGAACACTTCACAGAAAACCCACAGGGCTCGGCCTCCCTCAAACAGGTCCCCTCTCAGAAGACTAGAGCCATCCCCACCCTCCCAAGACCCCCACCCTACCTGCCACTCTCCCACAGGCTGAGCACCACAGACCCCTGTCCGCTTTGACCAGAGCCTGGCAGGGTGTGGCTTCTCAACACCTATATGTTAAATAACTAAATGAATGACTATACACAAACTCATATTAAAATTAGTGTGCTCCGTGGAAAGAGTAATACATAGCGTCCTTAGTTATCAAATCAGCTCCTCCCTCACTTTAGATAGGTTGGGACAAAGGATCGGTTTAGTGTTTTAGAAGTTTCATTTCAGAGGAAATGAAGAATCCGTCCTTACTGAGCAGGTGGCCCTGCTTAGGCAGAAAATGCCGGCGTTTCAACGGTTTGCTGTAACAATTCAGATGAGGGAAGTGAGCCCAGGGAGGCACCTACTTACCAGAATCCAGTGAGTAATGGCAGGGCCAGGACAGACCAGCTCCCTCTGAGGCTCGTTGGAAATGGCCCTCCGGCTCTGCACTCCTCAGAGACCTATGCGGGGTCTTGGAGGGCGAGTCTTACTGTCGGCCTACTCTCTCCGCCCCCTTGACAACCAGGAAAGCCCGTGTCAGCCCTTCCCAGGAACCCTTTCATAGCAGGACCCCGAAAAAAGACTTGACCTGACGTCGGAGGTCAAGGAGTGCTGCTGGAGCTCAGCCTGACTCCCAAACCTCAGCGGTGACACACGCTTCGGCAGACCCAGGCCCTGGAATGGCCCTGACCACATGGGCCGCCCACGCCACACACACTTCCTGCTCCCCAGCTCACCTCCTCTCCCACATCCACAAACCCGAACCAGGCACTGGGTCACATGTGCCCCCATACTCAGCCTCCCAGGAGGCAGCCAGTAGGCCCCACGCTGACAGGCGGGGCCCACATGCCCACCTCTAGGCTAGCCTGGCTTGGCCAAGAGCAAGGTGGCCTACCTAGAGGGGTGGCCGTCAACGCCTGCAGATATCAGATGGCATGGAACCCCTCATCCCCAGCCGCAGCCCCTCAGGCTCGGGGGAAGAGGACCCGGCCCCGCATCGTCAATCTTCAGCGCCGTTTCACTCTGAATCACTCGCGCTGGGTCTCTGCTCATTTCCTGGAGAAAGCAGAAGTGGAGAGCAGGCAGATGCGTGACTCTGCCCGCTCTCCAGCCGACCACGGAGCTGCTGGAGTTCTGGCGGGTGACTTGGGTTCTGCAGCAAGGCCCCTTGGGTCTGTGCACTCTCCGTGGTCAAGCGGTGCTGGGTGGGGCCAAGGACAAAATGGAAAGTACAGCTCGGCCCTAGAAGAGTAGGTCTGGATTCTGTGTTCCCTCTTCACTAGCCATGTGACCACTGGTGCACATCTCTCCTCTCTGGGCCTCTGGCAAAATGAGAACAATGATCGTGTTAGGTGAATCTAATCAGAGGCGCGTTTCAAGCGCACCCCTGGACATGGCATGGGTTCGACAGCCCTCGCCCCACAAAGCTCAGGGCTGCCCACTTGAATTTCTTCCTCCCCCATCCTCAGATCGAACTTGAACCACCAATCAGGGGAGTCCTCCTGCGGCCAACACTGAGGCAAGGATGAGACGACATCTAAAACCATAGAATGGAAGTCTCTGAAACTCAGACTCCAAATTCTCATTCCTCTGAGTATATTAACTAGGCTGAATTATCCATGTCACCTATCCATAACGGCATCTGCACAGGATGAACAAGCATGTCCTTTCACACACAATCCTGCTTGTGCTCTGTAAAAGGAGAATTTTGCCACAGAGCAAGGGCACTTGTTAGCGCTAATGCCTGATCCTTGACCCTCAGTGCAGCTCATCGTCTGTCTCTAGCTCACAAAACCAGTGGACCATGCATGACTGACTGAGAGGCAGCAGCAACATCACTTGTTATGAGATGGAGTAAGGCTCCAAGATTGGTTTAAAGCAGAAAATAACATTTGTCATAAAACCTCACCCTCCACCAATGCAAACTTGTCAGTAGACAGCAGCCAAAATAGTAGATCTGTCCAGCTGCACTCCAGCCTGGGTGACAAGGCCGAAACTCTGTCTCAAAAAAAAAAGAAAAAAGAAAAAAAAAAGAGAAATTGAAAGGATACATGCAGTGCCAGCCAGGGGAAAGAGAAAACCTTAGAGAATTTGCAGTGAAGTGTCTGTTGTATATGATGAAAATACCTCCCTCATTGTCACCAATGAAATCATAAAATCTACAAGATATTGCCTGAAATCAGAGGCCTATGGTAAGAGCAGATTAGACACAGGACCTTCCACAGAGGCAGGAAGGGTGGCCAGCATGGGACAGGCCAGGACGCCATGCCTGTGAATGCCCGAAGGAAGCACGGAGAGTCTGTCATAGTGGGAGTTCGCAAAGTCTGCTGAAGGGCCCTCATGCACCCAGGTCTCCTACCTTCTGCCCTCCCCAGCACCTTGCTGGGTAGCCAACAGCAGGCAGGTAAAGAGCACTAAATTCAGAGCTAGAAACTCAAGGTTGAAATTCTCACTATCTTAACTGAGATAATTGACATCTTTAAGTCTGTTTCTTATTTGCAGAATGAAAGAATGCCTTGTTAGAAGGAACAAGTCAAATAACATTTGCAAGAGAGTTTTTAAACACTAAAAAGGGCTCTGCAAATGCAAGCTTTTATTAGTGAGAGAGTTGCCCAAGCTAAGACATTGAAGCAGCCAGGGCAACTATGAACTGCCCATGTAAATGTTTTGTTGATAGGCAATGTGAGATTCTCTGATTTTTAAACAATTGCCCCAAAATGGCAGTTTTACTTCTGCATCCAGTTATGATGATGTGACTGATACAGGACATACCCTCCTATTGAAAGCAACTACAAAATAGTTCAAATACATAAGATAATTGTTTTCAGGCATTGAATAGCAAGACTGATCCTTGAGATAAGGAAAACACACAAGGTGAACCCCACAATTGCCCTGGAGTTTTTTCTAGGGATGCTTTTTCTGCTGTGATGCAGGTAGGTGGGACCCCAGAGACAGTAGTGTCCCTGAACTAAAAAGGTTTAAGTCAGAGTTCAAAGCTGCTGAAGGTGCTGGAATGTTCAAGGCAGGTTCCTGAGGAGAGTGTGCCTTTTGGGAACTCATTGTGTGTGCCCTTGGCCAAGGATTCCTATGTGTGCACAGAGTGAGACTCCAAGAGACCCAGCAGGGGTCACTTAACCCAAGACCAAGCGCTAAAGGAGGTAACAGAGAATGTGCAGAGCTTGGAATGTTGCAATTGCATCGCATGGAGAGTGGAGAGACTTCACTGAGCATTGTGAGACTTCACTTCGCACCTCAGAGCCCTCACCCCACCAAGCTCAGAGCTGCCCTGTTGTATTCCTTGCTCCCCAATCCTCAGATCAAACTTGAAACATCAATCAGGGGAGTCCTCCTGCAGACTAACATGAAGGTAATGATGAGAGGAAATTTAAAACCGTAAAACTCTGAAGCTCAGACTCCACACTGGAGAAGACCCACACCCTAGAATAAAAGCCATGAAGTTGAAACAAGTTCAAAATTGAAATAAAATAGCTCTATGTGATAAGTTACTTTTATGAGTTAACTTGACTGGGCCATGAGGTGCCCAAACATTTGGCGAGACATTATTCTGGGCATGTCAGTAAGGGTATTTTTGGATGAGATAAATATTTGAATCAGTAGACTGAGTCAAGCAGACTGTTCTCCCTAATATGCATGGGTGGCTTCCAATCAGTTGAAGACCTGAATAGAACAGAAGGCTGAGTAAGAGGACACTTTGGCTGCCTGACTCCTTGAGCTGGAACATCAGTCATCTCCTGCCTTTGGACTGGAACACTTACACCACGAGCTCTTCCGATTCTCAGGCCTTTGAACTCAGACTGCACCTTAAGCCATTGGTTCTTCTGGGTCTCCAGTTTGTTGACTGAAGACCTTAAGACTTCTCATCCTCTAGAATCATGTGAGCCAATTCCTTATAATAAATAAAGAAATAAACAAGAGCATGCATACATGTACATATATAGATATATACATATATATGCTTATATATGTATATCCAATTGGTTCTGTCTCTCTGGAGAACCCTAATATAACCAAACAAAGCATAAAAGAAGCAAGTCTGACAGAATTGAAAGGATAGTCCAGTAATTTTTTTTTTGAGACAGTCTGGCTCTGTCCCCCAAGATGGAGTGCAGTGGGGTGATCTCGGCTCACTGCAACCTTCACCTCCTGGGTTCAAGCGATTCTCGTGCCTCAGCCTCCCAAGTAGCTGGGATTATAAGCATGTGCCACCATGCCCAGCTGATTTTTTGTATTTTTAATAGAGACACTGTTTCACCTTGTTGGCCAGGCAGATCTCAAACTCATGAGCTCAAACGATCCCATCACCTCACCCGCACAAAGTGCTGGGATTACAGGTGTGAGCCACTGCAGCCAAGGAATTTAACTGCCAACCAGAACAAAACTCAACATACTTTAAAGGAAGAAAACGTAATGCAGCCTCCTTTCAATTTAACATCCATACTATCTAGCACACAGTTAAAATTAGTAGAAATCTGAAAAAGCAAAAGAATGTAACCCATAACAAGAAATAAAAAACTCTCAGTAGAAATGAACCCCAAGGTGAACCAGATGTTGGAATTATTTCCTAAGAACTTTAAAGCAGCTATCAGAAACATATTTAGGAACTTAAAAAAAAAGCTGGCAAATTTCAGCAAAAAAAAAAAATAGAAAATATAAGAAGATTCAAATGTAAATTCTAGAACTGAGAAGTATATCTGAAGTAAAAAATTTGTACTGATGGACCAACGGCAAATTGGTGACCACAGAAAAAAAGGGTTAATGAACTTGAAGACTTATTAATAAAAATTATACAATTTGAAGGACAGAGGGGAAAAATATTGAAGAAAAAACACAAACTCAGCTGCTCTTGGGACAATATGAAACGGTATAATATATGTGTAAATGGGGTCTCAGAGAGAGAGGAGAGCAGAAAAGCACATTTGAAGAAATGATGTTTGAAATTTCCCAGATTTATTGAAAAACAGCAAGTTGCAGACATGATAAGTTTAGTGAAACTCAAGCATCACCAAGTGCAAAGAAAAACCATACTTAGCACATCATAGTCAAGCATCAGAAACAAAAGTATTATCTTAAAACAGTCAGAGAGCAAGAAAGCAGTCAGAAAGAAAAAAATATTACATAAAGAGAAACAAAAATACTATTTAAGGCTGATGTTTTATCAGAAGCAATGAATGCCATAAGAGAATAGAAAGACATCTTTAACATGCTAAAGGAAAACAACAAAAATTGTTAACCAGTAATTCAATAGCCAATGAATGTCTCTGTAAAAATGAGAATAAAATACACTCATTTCAGGTAAGTGAAGCTGAGATCATTCAGCTCCAGCATCCTTGCACTATAAGAAATTCTAAAGGCAGTTTTTGAAGCTGAAGGGAAAAGACGCCAGATGGAAACTTGGATCTATAGGAAGAACAGAAAAGCACTCTTAATAGCAAATGTGTGAGTAAATAAAAACAAACCATGTACTATTCATTGTTTTAACTTCTTTAACAGACTATGACAGCTTAAAGTGAAAATTGCAGTACTGTACTTTGGAGTTGATAGCATATGTGGATAGAATGTATTTCACAACTACAGCACCAAAGAGTGAGAAATCAATGGAAGCATATTGTTGCAATCTCACATTTTACATAAAAATAGTATGTATTATGACAATTTACTCTAAGTAAATTATTTCACGAGAACTTTAAAGCAGCTATCAGAAACATATTTAGGAACTTAAAGAAAAAGTTGGCAATTTACTCTAAGTAAATTGTCATAAGGATATGTAATTTCTTCATGGCTTTGTGACAAAGATATCAGAAAAGTAAAAGTTTAGTTCCAATCAACAAACACACACTGAGCATCTCTTCTGTGCCAGGTCCC